AGGTCGGCTCTCAGCCTTCATGTCAGGGGATGCTCTGGGACCAAGGCAGTTTAGGTGAAAAGAACCCTCCCACATCCTTCACAGATTCAAGTTTGGCAATCTCTGATCTAAGTTACACTTCTCATCTCATTCAGATCTTCCTTTAACCAACTGATGAAACAGACACAGGTATCATTGGTTAAAGTGAAGGAGAAACAGAGAAAGGTGCATCCTACGAGCATGGAAACAAACAAACAAGCACAGGAAATAACATAGCGAACACCTGCTGCTGATACTAAAAAAAAAATCAAATTAACCCGTAAATACTGACAGCCTCTTATGCGCTCCTCTCTCTCCGTAAAGCCCCAGGTTATCCATTTTGAAATACACTTTTAGAAGTACTGGTATGTCAAAAAAAAAAAAAAAAAAAAACACAAAAAGTGCATTGATGTCTAAGTCAACAACAAACTTGCTTTTTTTTCAAGTTTTAGGTTTCTCATTTAATGAAACAACAAACAACTATGGCAAAAAGTATTTTTTGGAGGTGCTGAGCTTGGTTCAGAAACTGAGGTTTTCAATGTCACATTAATGAAACCTCAATTCTATAGAAAATTTGTCTTGAACAAAGGCCATTCTAAGTACAAAGCGGGTGAAAAAAACATACCTATTAATATTTATAAAACAATTTTTACCATCAAAAGCACATTGTTACATGCTTGATAGATCATACAAATGAATTTTCCTTCCGAACAAATATCAAAGAAAGCAGTTGTTCTTATATTCAGAGGGTGTTTTGTGTTGTTTTGCTTTAGTGGTGTGAGATTCTGTGAGCTGTTAATTCAACAACCTTGATGGAGAACTTGATGGTAGGTAGAGGCCTCTGACCCCCGGGTTTTCACAGTAGAACATGCCACAGAATTCAACAAAAGAAAAACACATTTCAGAGGGGAGACTCACACATAAAAGAAACGTAAAAACAGCAGGAAATAAGACTGTCATAATTAGTTTGAAAAATAATCTGTCTTCAAGCAACGTATTGTGTTTGATTTATGATAAATAACCATAATGTGCTGCTGAAAAAGCCTTGCCAAGATGGCCTTAAAATGCAGATACTTTCAAATGAGTCCCATTTTCCATTAAATATCAGTGTTCCCAGAGTTGTAAATACTTTTTAGAACTTTTCGTTTGTTTCTGTGAAAGGAGAAAATAGATATGGGGCAGGTGGGGGTGAGGGTGGGGGTGGAGTACTGAAAATATTCTTGAAACTAGAGTCTTGTATATGAAGAGAAAAACACCCACCAACAACATGGGCACTTGCAGACATGAAGTAACAGGGTGGCTATTTAGGGAAATCAATGTGAAGAGAGGAAGGGATGGGAAGGGCCACTTAACGCTGGATCACAGGGTCCTAATTCACAAATAATCTTGCCCACAGATCACTGTTTTCAATTCAGTCCGATTCATGGATTGGGCTCCGGCTGATAAAGACGGCTTAAAGCAGAAATTCATTTGCAGGCTACTGAATGCTATGATCATTTTTGGTTGCAGGGAGCTGTCTTGTTTGCTGGTGTCCCTGGCCTCTATCCATTGGGTGCCAGTGGCACTCCTGGTGTCCAGGGGAGGGAGACAGGTGGCTGGGTGCAGTTTGTCCTCCTGCACTTCCACTGAAAATCACCGCTTTAGAGACAGACACTGGAGAAAGGACAGTCAGAGCTGACTCAGGTGGGAAGAGACGGAATAGAATTAAAATCCCATCACAGACTTCAAAACAAACAATCAATGGTAAGTAAAGGGTGCATTGCTTCTTAGTTGGCCAAAGGTTTAATGGGGTAATTATGCTATTGGAATTAGGCAAACAAGGAACATTAAATCCTCCTAGCCCATATGATTCTACCTCAGTGATTGGTGTTGGGGTGGGCATGTGACCAAAAAGCCAGGCCAACTGTTCGCAGGGATGGCTGTGGTGGTTGGAGGAGCAGTGATCTAGAAACCATCTGTGCTGCAAGCTCCGAGAAGCCTGGCTGAGGAAGAAGCCGATTTAGAGGCAAGCAGGACTGAGCAGAGGAAGCCCAGAAAATCCCTGACTGGCTTCATGCCTGCAGCAGAACCAGTCCTTACACTTCTCTATGAAATGAATCACATGAATACCCTCCTACCTCACTTTTAAGGAGCTCTGGTATACTGTGTAGTGCTTATGAGTTGGGCTGCAAATCTCAAGGTCAGTAGTTCAAGCCTACTAACTGTCCCACTGAAGAACGAAGAGGCTTTCTACTCCAGCAAAGCTTTACAACCTCGGAAACCCTATGCAGGGTCGCTGTGAGTCAGAAGCGACTCCATGCCACAAAATCACCACCACAATGCTTTAGGTCCCTTGCTGTGACATAGTTCAAACCCATCAGCTGCTCCTCGGAAACCCTATACAGAGTCACTGCGAGTCAGAACTGGCTAGATAGCACCTAACAACAACAACCTTGCTTTCAGAGTCCTGGTGTGGGGCTGTAGGATAAGCACTGGACTGCTGACCCCACAGTTGGCAGTTCAAACTCACCAGCTGTTCCTCAAAAACGCTATCCAGGGTCCGTATGAGTCTGAACTGACTCCAAGGCACTTAACAACCACCACCACAACCTTGTCTTTACGGAGGGTGATGGCTCTACAGGATAAGCACTGGACTGTGAACCACAGTGCTGTCAGTTTGAGCCCACAAGCAACTCCTTGGGAGAAAGATGAAACTTTCCGCTCCCAAAAAGATAAACAGTCTGGAAAACAACAAACTGTCACTAAGGAATTCCTGGGTAATACAGATGGTTAACACACTCAGCTGCTAACCAAAAGGTTGCAGGTTCAAGTTCACCCACAGGCAGTCTGCTTCTGAAAACTTAGCTAGTGAAAACCCTGTGGAGTACAGTTCTATCCTGACACATACGGGGTCACCAAGACGCAAAACTGTCTCCATGGCAACTGGTTAATGGTCACTATTCTACATTATACTCAGTAGTGCCAAATTATAGTCTCTGAAGTGGATTATTAATCATATTGAAAAAAGTAGTGCTTACTCTGCCATCTTTCTCTGTGTAAAGAATTCCCCCTGAGGTGGACCACTGGTCTCCATTCAACCCCCATACATCAGCTCATGTGCAAGTATATGACCAATTAAGGTGGATTTTTTTTTTTTTTTTAATTAATGCTGTTCATTCAGTAGCAGAAAAACAATGAACTTATCCTGCTCTGCAAACATTTCAAGGTGCGATAATTTAAATGATAAAAGGAATTCTACTGCAAAGTTTTCAAGTAAGAATGTTTTGTGTGATGCTGAGCTCTTTAGATTTAAAAATTGAAAGAGTAATTATAAAGTTGAAAATGTAATGGGAGCGGTCATATGTTCTGCTATTAACGATCTAAATGAAAATAACTGAAACATTCAGATGATAAATATTACTGATATTGCCAAGATGTAAACGGCTGCTTTTACGGCTCCTAAAATAAAGGATTGCTTTAGGGGACTGGGACAATGATGAAGATCAATTTGTACATTTGGTCATTAATCACTGTTTCCTAATTGGGTTTAATTTGATGGCTGCTCATTAGAGTTATAAACCAACACACTCATTTAATTGTGATTATACTTCAATAGCTGAATTTTTATGGTACAATGAACAAATTAATCGCCAAAGATAATTTTGCTCTTAAAAATATCACATTAAGACTTACGTTTTAATGAACTGAGTAAACAGAATGTATTTTATGATGTTTCCTTCAAAAAACTCTAAGAAATATTCTTTCTCTTAATAATGAAAAAGAAAATTTCAGACATCATGGCGTTTTCCAAACACCCTCGAGGAAAAGATTCCTCGTCTGCCTCTTCCCTACAGCCTTACCATAGGTGCAACTGTCTACTTCAGAAGGTGGTGGTGATGTGCCGTGGAGTCGGCGCTGACCCATAGCAACCCCGTACACAGTATCCGAGGCTGTAAATCTTCTCAGAAGCAGAAAGCCTCGTCTTTCTTCCATGGAACAGATGGTAGGTAGTTTTGAACTGCTGACCTTGAGGTTTGTAGCCAATTCGTAACCACTTCAAAGGGAGGGGAATGAAAATACTTTCGCAGCCTAATCTTCATCCCACTCCATGGCTGAGTTGCCTTTGTCTTGCCTTTGTAATCATTTAATAGGAAATAACCTGGTTGTGTTGCCTACTAGTTTGAAAGGCAATATATAACCTTTAAAAACTTTTATATTGAATTTCCTCTTTTATTTCTTAAATTTAATTAACAACTCGATGCAGTATGAATTTTGACTGGTATTTCCAAATGGAAACTAACTACAGGTCACTTTGATTAAAGCAAATAATTATTTTAAAGGTGGAAACAGCAGCGAAGTGGATAGGTCACACTCAGGCAGTCTGTTACACCAGCATCAACATGTGCGCTGGCCTCAGAGGGTTAGAGGTTCAGCTCCCAGCTCTAGGAACTAGTTTGTCCAGGGAGAGAGAAACATTCAGTGTTGTTACATCAATAAAATGGGATAACAGTTTCTAACTTTTCATTGTTATGCTACAGAGCAAAAAAAATGCATACAAAGCTTAGCCCAGTTCCTGCTACATCTGCAGGGAATGCAACTGACCAAATCCGGAAAAAGAGCTACGATTCGGAAGCAATGGGGGCTTCACCCTAAAGACATTACTCCAGCAGGGGCCTAGGGATTCAAAGTTACCAGTCATTCCTCATTAGCGCTATACAGAACTGACTCGATGGCATTTAACAACAGCTCAGGGAGGTGGATGGATGTTTCTAGGAAATCGAAAAGCTGCTTCCTCCAAGGCTAGGCATTTGGCTGCAAACAAAGTACTGCTATATTCAACTGCAACATGGGAACATTTGGAACTATGGCAGAAATTAAATTACTGGAAGAAATTAATGCAGAGCTCCCACGACAGTCTTTGGTGCAATTTATAGTGTGCATAAATAATGATAATATATGCATTTGTTTTATAGATGTGAAGATTTACATTTTTTTTTTTTTACCTTGTCCTTCTGGAGTCTCACCGAAAGGATTCACTTCCACCTGAGTAGCGTCAATTTTCAGGAAGAGATTATACAGCTTCGTAATCTGATCCGCAGCCTAAATCAGTGAAATCGGATTACACCAAGGCACTAAAAGAAAATTTATTTAGCTGTACGAATGAAATCTTAAAAATAGCAAGATATGTCTTTATTTTCACAAAAGTTTCCTATAGGAAAACCTAGAAAAGCTTAATTATTTGCATTTGCACTGCTACTCATCAGAAGGAACTGCTCAACATAACAAGAAGGGCCCATATCAAGAAAACAAAATACCTTCAGTAATAGCTGAAAACGTTGGGAAACTTTTTGAAAATTATCATGCCCCCATTAGTTGAGTTATGGTTCATGATGAGCTATAATTGTTAATACAAACAAGCTCCATTTAAGTAAAAGGTAAACATGATTTTTACTTTATAATGACAAGTTTTCCTTATTATGCTAGGATAAAACAGTTATTACATTCATCAATCAAAACCTGTAATCTGTTACAAGGCAGAAAGACCAAAGTCCTAAACAGCCTACTTCCAAATGAAAAGAACTTGTCCCAAAAACATAAACCACAAACAGTATGAAAACCCAAGGTTTCCCAAATATTGTGCACCGTGGTCCATTCTTTTCACTCATTCATTTCTTCATTTTAACCAACATACATGAATCACATTTATGAATCAGGATCTATGTCACAATAGGCTGGTGTCATATGAGCAGGGGCCATGGAGACAACGTGAGGTACGACCCTGCTCTAGAAAGTTCACAGGGACAATGACCAGACCCTTTGACACATAAAGGAAGATCCGTGTGCCATCTTAGCTCAATACTGGACATCAATCTCAATCTTGCCTCCGTTTTATTTGCTGGCTAAGACTTTCCATCTACCACCATTTTCTTTCTTGTACCAGTCCTGCATTATTTGCCATCAGATTCATTTCCGGTTCTTCCCCATCTCTACTGGGTAGAACTGGGGAGATAACTCCTTATAGGCTGAGTTTCGAGGGCTAATGGATCTAAACCTCCAGGCAGGTTTAGACAACAGGAAGCTGTGGTGGGACGATGCAGGAGGTGGAAGGAAGACAAAAGGCAGGTCTTTCTACTATGCTCAGTCTTGGGTAGCATCTCCAATAGGGGCTCCACCTCCCATGAGAGGGGCTTACCAGGATCCCACCTTCTGTATCTTACATTCAGTCACACAACAACACCGCCGCTTCGCTTTGCTCCTGGAGCCTAGAAATAGTAACAATTCTCTGCTGCAGTGTAACTCTAGATCCTCTCTCTGTGCCCTGATGCACTTCACAGTTCTTGCAGCATCTAACCAGTACCTGAAATAAAGGATTTCTGTGCTCCAGGCTGACTAAAGAATGCCAGTGGATGCAATTCTCCTCATCTTCAATTATTTTATTTATTTCTGTGAACTTCCTAAAATCCTCATTTGAAACCCAGTGGGTATAAATAAACAAACACACATGAGTGATTCTGAGCTGTTTTAAATATGAATTTTTTTTCTAGCTAGATGCTATATGCACATCAAACAAAATTCAGCACCCATCCACACAACTCAGACCCTACTACAGCCACCATTCTCAGCCTCCTTGCAGAGAGATTCTGTGCATCTGTCATTATGCATATTCTTCATTTATTTAAAAAAAATAACAGTGAGAGCACACAAAACGGCCTTAGATTTTGTTTCTTTATTTTTTTTCTTCTGTCATCCTCCCTCTTCTTGTATATTGCCCCCTCAGTTACCCCAGATACCATGTGTTTACCTTCTAGCCAAAGAATTAGTCTATTCTCTCTCCCACCCCTTATAACCACCAAAGAATGTTTCTTTTAGTGTGGAAATCGTTTAAGCTTTTACAATAATGTTGCTTCTTTATTTAATAGAACAATCTTATTCTTTTAAATGGCTACATATCTTGTTGCATTTGTTGTTGTTGTGAAGCACCTTCGAGTTGGTTCCGACCCATAGCGACCCTGCTTAGGGTTTCTGAGTCTGAACTACTGACCTTGTGGTTCAAATTGACTTTGTGGTCCAGAGTATTAACGCACAGCGCCACACCTGGACTCTGATCTTGTTGTATAGAGGCACCACAATGCATTTAAACTGTCACTTAAAGAGAAACCTTTGGGATGGTATCCAACAGTTGAATATTACCTAAAAAGCTCTAATTAAATATCTATAGGATAAATTCCATGAAGCATAGCAAAACGAGGTGCAGGAAAAAAAGGGGGTGCAGCATTTCAAATGCTGATTGAAAAAGAAAAGAAATAAATGATCAATTCCAACTCAGTGTGACTTCATGTTTGTCAAAGGACACTCCTGCTACATAACATTTTCAATGATACTGATCTTTCAGAAGTTTATTGTCAAGCCTTTCTTCCAAAGCATCTCTGGGTAGATGTGAACTATTTATTAATCTTCTGGTTAGCATTCAAGCTCTCAACCATTTGTGCCACCCACGGGCTTAAATGTTTATGTTGTTAAGTGCTGTGGCGTTGGATCCAACTAATAGTGACACAGTATAGGGTTTCTGCTCCCGTAAAGATTTACACCCTCGGAAACCCTGTACAGGGTCGTTATGGGTCGGAACCGACTCGACGGCACTTAACAACAACAACAACAACATAGGGTTTCAAGGAGCAGCTGGTGGGTTTTAACCTCTGAACTTACGGTTAGTAGTCCAATGAATGCTCTGTGTACAGCGCCACATTGCTTGTAGAAATTAATATTTGTCGCAAATTTCTACTGGTGTGACACTGTAGGATCAGCAGTTCAAACCCACAGCTACTCCTTGGAAACCCTATAAAGGGTTGTTAGGAGTGGGAACACACTAAACAACAGCAACAACTCACAATACTAGAGACTTTTTCTCCTCAGAAAGGAGTAGCCATTTGGATTTTGTCAATGTGGCAATGTGTTAGATGAAAAAGGGTATCTCATGCACAGTTTAGTTTGAATGTCTCTTATTATGAGCTTCAGGATGATTTTATGAGCTGAAGACTCACTCATGCTTTCTTTTCTGTGAATTTTGCCCAATATTCTATTGATTTATAGGTCCTGGCATGGCACTCTAGGATCAACATTAGATTGCAATCTATAAGATCTACGGTTCAAACCCCCCAGCCTCTCCTTGGAAACCCTAGCAAGGTCACTGTGAGTGGGAACCAACTCCACGGCAATTAACAACACAGCAACAGCATTTCCATATGAAGGACATTAGTATCACTTTATGACTAGAAAGTTCCCCTTCTACCATGTATCTTTTGACCACATTTTTGCTATTTCTATCATGTGGAATTTAATAACAATAACATTCTTTTCTTTTATGATTTCTGGTTTTGTGACATCCTTAAAAATGACCAGTTCCTCTAAAGAGTGTTAAAATAAATTCTCATTAAAAAAATAAATAAAGATTACTTTTATTTTTTTTAAATTCAAGTGGAGCTGTTGGGGGATTAAAGTATCATGTAGATAAACTAAAAATTTTAATAACAGTACAAATTTAGTGTTAACTTCTTGGTTTTAATTCACGTAAAATTGTTGTGGGATTAAATATAAAGCAGACAAAGAACTCACAGGAGAATACTCTGGGCACTTTTCTGGATTACCGAGATTATCAAATGAGCTGTCAATGTGAGCTATATGAGGGGGTACCCTGTCAGGACGACCGTACAAGAATTGATGCTTTTAAGTTATGGTGTTGGAGGAGAATATTGAAAGTGCCATGGGCTGCCAAAAGAACCAACAGATCTGTGGTGGAAGAAATGCAGCCAGAGTGCTCCTTCGAAGCCAGGATGGACAAACCTTGTCTCTCATACTTTGAATATATTTTCGGGAGGGACCAGTCACTGGAGAAGGATATCATGTTTAGTAAGGTGGAGGGTTAGAGAAAAAGAGGAAGACCCCCAGCAAGATGGATTGGCCAAGTGGCAGCACTGATGGACTCAAGGTTGGCCCAGGATCGGGAAGTGTTTCGTTCTGCTGTGCATAATGTTGCTATGAGTTGGTACCAACTCGATGGCACCTAACAACAACAACAACAACAACCCTGTCTCACAACTCACGGTGGCTTCCACTGCACTTACGTGGTATCTACAAAAATCATCTTTCTTCTGAGGTACAGCTGGTGGGCTCGAACTGTAGGCCTTGTGGTTCATAATCCAGTAATTATCCTACAGAGCCACCACACTCCTTTAATTCTAGTATGTACATAGCATCTTATGCCAGACACTTTAAAACTGTATAAGACTATCAATTTGTTTAAAACAAAGTCTGAGTTTTCTACATGTTAATGCCTCTGTAGTTATACATTAACGGCATTTCAGGGTGTTCACTACTATAATTTTTATTGTGCAAAGGTAAGTTACAAACATTTTTTTGAAGCGGGCAGGAATATGATTAGATCCACATTATAAGATCTTCCAAGAAAAAGCTATGCCATAATATCTAAAAAGGAGTTTATGGTGAGGGTCACAATGTACAGTCAATGAATGTAATTGACGTCAGTACATTATACATCTGTGAAAAGTTGAATTGGCAAACACTTCCAAAAAACCAAATGCCTCATGGAATTTGGTTTCTTGCTTGAGGGTCATGGTTTCATGGGGCATCCCAGCTAACTGGCCCAAGAATTTGTTCAGGGCCTCTGTTCCACTGCCTGCCTTTAGAGCTTGCAGATGGACATCCAACATAGCAACTGGTCTCTATTCACCTGGAACAACAGAAGAAAACGGAGAGTCAGGAATAGGAGGATCTGGAATGTGTAGCTAATTGTCTTAATGACCAATTGCTTCCTTTACCTGAGAACAGAAAGACTGAATGCCTAGTTACTACTACTATTGTGTGATCAGAGATTCCATAGAAGAATCCCGATCAAAAGTGGGAAAATGCAGAGCACAAATTCAAATTCTCATTGAATCTAGATTTTCTGGATCCATGGAGGCTATGTGGACCCCTGAAACTACAGCCTTGAAATCTTTAAACCTTACACCAAAATTCTCCAAGACCTTCTTAAAACTGAAGAATTTACTGGCTTACAAGCTTTCAAGAGGGAGCCTAGATAC